GTCGGAGCAGTTGGAATAAAAGTTAGAGCAGTAGCCTGGACACAATCCAGGGGTTGCTTTCTTGGCATCAAAGTTGCTGTTGCCTTCTGCTTCAAAGATGTGAGCTGCATAAGGATCACATTCAAGACAAAGAATTTCCTTCAACATCTTCTCGCAATGGAGGCGAGTGTTAAGTCTAAATCTAGCTTTTTGTTGTGTAAACTGTTCAGCAATTTGGTCATCTTTCTTTGATGTACAGCAACCAAACGATGTGTACTGGGAGCAAAATTTCAGCCCTGATTTGGCTTGAAACGGCGGCTTGTAATCGAGACATTGTGGATGGCTTTTTGTTTCATCCACTACGATCATCAACACCAACACAACGCGAAGTATCYACGCATAGTCCGACATAATGACTTATGTAATTCTGAATCAGCTCTGAGAGAAGTGATCATAAGAGGTCACTGACACACTTTAAATACTTGTTCTGACTTGTTGGTACGTCTTGGGCACAGATTGAATTACAGAAACATGTCACATCAAGTCGTCCACACCGATCGAGATGCAACTTTTACAAGCTACATTGATTTACTCCATTTTATTTTTAAAAAGAGCGAAAAGCGATAAACTCGTCACCATATTTGGTCAACAGTTAACCCGAACAATGGCGGGGATTTCAAAGGAGCGGGGGAAAAAATCACAGGTTGAATTGTACAATCCATTCAAAAGTTGCACTGGCTTCTCAACTAAAACAAATGCGGAGGTAATTTTCTGCGGACTACATGAAAAAGAAAAAAAAAGAATTGAGGCTACACGAAGAAAAAAAAAAAGAAGTGATATCACAGGGATGATATAGCGCTAAAAAATGCACTACCGAAGTTACTCGTCTTCATCTCACGCATTTTGAAAGGTTTCAATGGAAGGAGGAAAGAAGCGAGATATCTTCATTCCTCCTTAATTCCCTTCATGCATTGCGCACGGAGAGTCAAGTGGAAAGACATCGTCGCAAGGAGCAGGGTGCCTATAGCGGTAATAGGGCTATCATTTGTTTTCGTTTCATAAAACAAAAGAGTTTATAGCCCTTGTTTGCACGACAGTAGGGTATCCCGAGGTGGGGTCTAAGAGACTCAAATTGTATTTCAACTGTATTTGTTTTGAATACTTACAAATTTAAGCCATTACCAAACTGGCCAAATGGATCGCCAGCAGATCCTCCGTCACCTAATGTCAAATACAACATGCCATCATATCCAAACAAAATCTGTCCGCCATTATGATTAGATCTTGGTTGAGGTATTTCCAGAATGATTTTCTCACTGTCATGATTAGCTCTGTTCGGGTTGAGGTTTGAGACGGTAAATTCACTCAACACAGATTTATGGTCTGCGGATTTATCGTCAGATTCACCCAATCGAGTCGAGTAGTAAACAAAAAGGCGACCATTTTTCCTGTAATCCGGATGAAAAGCAAGACTAAGAAACCCTCTCTCGTCGCCTTTCCTATCTGATGTTAAAACTTTGTGACTTATGTCAAGYAATGTCACCTTTTGTAATTGTTTTGTATTTGGCATCAAAATGTGAACGACTCCCATTTGTTCAGCAATAAAAAGTCGATGTGTGCCGTCTCCANTCAAAGATGTGAGCTGCATAAGGATCACATTCAAGACAAAGGATTTCCTTCAACATCTTCTCGCAATGGGGACGAGTGTTAAGTCTAAATCTAGCTTTTTGTTGTGTAAACTGTTCAGCAATTTGGTCATCTTTCTTTGATGTACAGCAACCAAATAATGTGTATTGAGAGCAAAACTTCAGCTTTGAATTGGCTTGAAATGGTGGTTTATAATCGAGACATTGTGGATGGCTTCTTGTCTTGTCTACTGCAAACAACAACAGCATTGCAGCTAGAAGGAGCAATGAATTGGGCGATGACATATTGAATCATGCTAAAGTAACCAGCTTCTTCATGACGATATCATGTACGGTTGAAAAACATGGCGGACGATGTTCTGATTTATACAAACATGTCAATAAACGTCACGCAATCCTCCTACAGCATGGGGTAGCCCTTCACGGTTTTGCAAGATTTACCCGATTGGTTTACGGGCTATTTGTTYAATAAAAGAAAACGAAGACCAAGAAACGACGAAGACTCGGGGTACGASATTGCATTCCAAGGCTGTCAACATGTGTAGTACTTGAACCGGAAGTCATAATCTTTAACCACGTGATAGCATGTGTTCTTGCTCGTGAGTTTCCGGTTTATAGTTCACGGCAACACYAGACCTGACTTGGCTTGTCAATGAAAATTCAGCCTTTTACCCAGCAGAATGGGTCTTTTGTGGCTCTTAACAGTCTTCTTGGGAATTTTAGTTATTCTAGTTTTCTACTTCACTCGTTTTTTTCAAAAGGTAAATTCCAGATTAAGAGATCTTTTGCATCCCTGCACGAGAAGTATGTTGAAATGTAAGCTTGAATCATGTTTTATTTACTCGTAGAGTAAAGTGGTTGAGTCAGTCTCCATTCAGCAGAAGATAAACTTCATCAAGAAGGTAATTTATAAGCAAGATGCTAAGTATTTGCACGTAAYGCTATATTTTGTGTGAAGAACTCGAACAACCTAGCATYAAAAMCTTTCTTRTGACATGCTACAAGATTTTCTGCACTTTCGTGATTTTGACATGTGATTTAAATTAATCTTGAGCGGTCAGTTTGGTTTGTTTAATTCAATTCTTGTGTCGCTGGATTTGGTCGCCCATTCTTTGATTTGCTGCAGTGTATAAAATGAATTTATTTGATCTTTGAACATGRTACTSGATCAGCCAGCTACAATTGTAGCTATAAAACTTTAACTCCTATTTAGTATGTCAMTACGTTTGGCAAAGTGCGATCACCAATAAAACGCACATAAATGTGCTGCTTTAATATTTAATTACTTTAAACTAAAAAACTCACATGAGGATATCAAATGTATCAGAGTCCAATGTTTGAAATAAAGCTGCACAGGAATCCCATCAACATAATGAATAGAATTGGAAAATAATGGCAACATGACTTGTAGTGTAATTGTAAATCATGAAGCAAGTGATGATCAATATTCATTGCTGTAATTACATTGAGAACAATAAGGTTCATGCATAGACATAATTATTATTACTTGTAAAATTATTGCACAACCACATCACTAAGAACAACATTAAAGTTTGATTGTGACTATTTGTACACGTGTACGTAATGCAAATTATTAAGATGAGATCAAGTTTCAAAATTTCAAAAAATAAAAAAGCTAAAAAAAGAAAAAAATCAAAAGAAAGACCAGTTATCATTGAACATTTCACAATTAGACCGTGAGGTCATATGGGGTACAGTTGATAGTCCATATAAGGCTGTACTTGGCTGAATGGACTATCAACTTGTAGTTCATGAGACAAATTTGAAAAAAAATTCAATAACAACTTTTCTCAGCATTGTTTTTGACTATTTTTCACTTTTTGACCATAACATAAATATACCATGGTTCAGTGACCAATCAGAATGCTGGATTTGTGATAGTTCATAGTTGACATAGTTCGGTGGATACTATGAAGTCATTTTAGTCTCTAACAAAAGCATTCTGAATGGCTGCTGAACTATGGTTTATTTTAGAACATGGCTTCATTTCATATACTGAAGAGTATAAACAATTTAGCCTGATGATGGTTTTGCATTAAAACCGAAATATTGCTCTTACGTTCTGTCCAATTCTATTCGATGTTGAATATCAACTAGAAATATGAATATATTCAGTATCACATTCATCTTGTTAAACAATTTGACCACTAACAATTATACCATGATCTAGCCTTGTGGACCACGTCGTGAACTCCTGGTCTAATTGTTAAATATTCTAGATATCTCCACCATGCCATTCTAAAGGATGGAGTATTTTGGGTGTTGACAATGGTCTGAGAATCTGGAAGAAACATGTTGACTCAGAAACATTTCAATGGTACACTGGGCAAACAGTTTATGGCTGTACATGTGTTATACAGGCAAATGTTAAGGTAATAATGATTATCAAATTATTATTTTAAATCATTTTATTGTATTGCTATACAATGATAGTATACCATGATTATATCATTTTAATTCTATCATGTCATTGTCTTACAAGGATATTTTAACTGCACTACAAGACTTGAGATATATTCCCGAGTGGGATCCCTGTGTACAGGGTGTGAGTCGAGTGAGCACTGGAAAAGGACATGATGTGATATCTGGGACTCCTGTTTCCATGGGAACAATAGAACATGTTACACTGAAAGTTATTCAAATGTTTGGATGTGATATCACTTCAATCTACTCAAGGTTAGTTATGTATAAGTCAAACACTAGATCAATAAACTACAATATTCAAATGCTTGTTACCAGTCCACGGCAGGCATATAATAAAATGAAGTGATTAAATGAAAATTAAAGTAAGTAATTAAATGAAAATGAAAAATATTGAATATCATGTCACCATTGTTTTTTTTTAATCAGAAACCTTCATATTATTGAAGAAGTCTACTTTCCATATTTTGATTGAATTAAGTTGACCACACACAAAAGAATTCATGATAAAACCTAWGGGGAAACAACATATCATCRMTGTTTTATCAGAGACTTGTTTTCAGTTCTCTTTGCATGATCATTCAACCAGAATCTTGAAAAGACTAAAAAATACTCTATGTATTGCCTTTTAAAGTTTGTTTGGCTTGTATTCCAGATACTGGCACAGTAATACCATTAATGAAGGGTGGTTCTTCAGCTCTTCAATGCAGCAAGCTGTATTTACTTCAGGATTCCTGTGGTGTGGAGTGCTTATAACACCAATTAGCACAGGTATCTCACACTCTGATTTCATATGTCATTTCTTAATATGTTTCTATGTCATCTTTCCTTTTGTCATAAAAAATAATAGTCTTTCCTTTAACCAAAAGGCAAGYCAAACAGAACCTCAAACATCCATATTGTATTTCTATTTGCAGCACCAACCGAAAAATCTTTACATAAGATACATTTGATAACAGCGCCAACCATAGACTATGCATTAATGTCTGATATCAAGCTATTTACCTCCATTCGTCTTGCTGGTTTGAGGGATTTCTTGACAATTAAATATTCCGGTAAAGTGGTTGAATGTTCCAATGCAATACKAAATGGTCATGATGTCAAYAGCTCAAGTGAAAATGAAGCYAATAGAAGTGATAATAGAGGTATGGATAGCAACAATTTCAATGTGATTCTTCAAATTTGAAATCGTCAAGTGGCTCTGCATCACTCTCTTACCAATGTGTCAATATAATTAATTTATTATTTTGTTCAGCCAATCATCTCAATTATTTCTTAAATAATTTCTTCCTCTTGCATTTTTCTTCCTACTTTTTCATATTCCATTTTCTCATCTTTTCTTTCGGTGCAGTGGCTGAAGAAGAAGAGTCAGAGGAGTCATTCTTTGATGAGGTAGAGGTAGGCGACATTATTATTCGACGATATAGATTATATTTGTACACTTATGTTACTGTATATGTTTTTGATATCAATATATTGCATGGTTCAGGGGTTGAGTGTTCCCAATCAAGAAGACAAGATTTCACTTGAGTAAGTTAAATTTTACAATTACTAAACAAGTTCCTTTGTTTTACAATATTTGCTTGCTTTCACCATCAATGATGTGATTCCTGTGTGGGCCTTGCATAGTATTAGCTTTTACTCATTTGTCATCTAAGGGACACCATTAAGAAAATACAGAAAAATTGTATGAAAGCATTTAATGCAGCTATTGGAACTGATGGATGGACTTTCTTGGCGAATATTAAGTAAGAATTTTCACCTCTTGTTCATAACTTCATATTTTCTTCATTTAATCTATTTTGAACTTTTCAATTGATTCCAAGGCATGCTTCCATTTTGTGCATTTCTAACATGAATTATTTTTCCTCTTATAGAGATGTTGAGATCACAAAAAGATCTGCGCAATCAGGGGAACCCCCGTGGGACACATTGAAGGGTGTGGTAACAGTTAACGTACCTGTACATTATGCACTGGCTTATGGGTTTGACCTCCAGTACCGCGGGGAATGGGATGATCTGTATGCAAGAGGTATTGACACAGCATTATAATATGTACTCTAATGTTCTATTGCAGCTGTTACCCTCTGTTAATAATGATATTTGCATGTTTATTTATACTAGGAGAGATCATCAAAGAGTACAACCTTCTTACAAAGGTACCGAGGTTTCATCTTTCTTAACTCCATGATCATCCTGGGTTTCCCTTCTTCATTCTATTCACACTTATCCCCATTCAATTGTACTATGGTACACTACATGTTTTTGATATTTAAC